CCGCCATTCGCTCAATTTTGATTTCAATCAAAAGCTAGGTTTCCAATGGGAGCACAATGCTTGTTGAAAACTATAAGGTCATAGGGTGGGTAGGATGAGCTCAAGAAAACCGATCCCTTCGTAAGAACGACAAGCTAAAGAAAATGGAATGGGGACAGATTTCTGAATGTTCGTGTCCTTTATTTCTCGCACAAAAGCATAGTTTCCCCAAGTTTTCATGTTCCTTTCCTTTTCAATCAGTATGCTTGGGAAGCAAAGAAGACAAGTAACCTAGCAATTCTCACCTTTTCTCTTGTATGGTCCTACATGACTCGACGCTCTTCCAGAATACATCTCTTCAAACAGGATGTACTCTAAGAGAAGATAGAAAACCGGAGAGAATTACTGTACCTCCACAAAAAAGACGTTTTGACACCTTAGTTTCTATGCTTTAAGTTTCACTCTAGGTGCACAATTAAAAGCTGTCTCCATGAATTTCAATGCATGTGGAAAAATACAAGGTCATAATGGAGGTAAGAAATGCTCAAGAATGTGGAATGCTTACGGATGTCAGAATGTGTGTTACTTTTTCATTTACAATAGCAGCGGGATGCATTTCCTGCATGACCGTCAGTCTTTTGAAACGTTTCTAATTATAACACCGACTTCCCATCCAACCTTTACTTCCCTTTTGGACATTAAATCAAAAACGAACCTGTCTGGTCCATTAGAGACGCCTCTCTTTGGGTACTCCAGTGTCGGTCCTTTGCCAGGATGGTGGTGGGAGGGAAGGAGTGCTGAACATCCTCGCTCGGAAGAAGAATTCATACATAGGCATCACGATACTGGTCTTAGCTGCTGTTTCTAAAAATGGCTAAGCCCTGGCCTATAGAGATTCAATCAATCTTCATCTTTTTTAGGGTTCTGTAGGCAGCAGCTTATTATTCTTAGGTGCTGTATCTGTCGTATATAAATACCCTATTCTATTTCATCATTGACTGCAGCATGCTAAGCTTCGTAATAAGAATATCTCTCCCTTCAGAAACTTTACTCCTAGGCCAGATTCTTGGCAGCAGCTTGGTAATATTAGGTGCTTTTTCTGCCAGTAAAAACTACTTCCTGTTCTTTCCACTGTAGCATGGCTCTTTAAAAATTGCTGGCCACTTTTGAATTTCAAATGGATGGGATAAGCAGTCAATCAAGTAATTATTTCTTCATTTGAAGAGAATCCTACCATTCTTTTGCAACATCTTAAATACCAGAAATAAGAGTGGAGAATATCTGACTACAATTTCAGTAAAGTGTGCAACATCTTAAATACCTAAAATAAGAATGGAGAATATCTGAATACAATCTCAGTAAAGTGTAAAAGCATGCATGGCCCTACTTACATGGGCAGTTCGAACAGCAAAAGGAAAAAAAGTTGAACAACACAAAGGGAAATGAAACCAACAATCGTTGGAAATACATATGGTGCATTGTCATCGACAGATTCAATTAAGAATTTGCAAGGATAATTGCATGTCCGTTTTTTTCTTCATATATATTAAGTCAGAAGCCAAGATTCGTCTACTGTGGTTTTATAGGCAGCAGCTTGCTGAATTTAGGTGCTGATCCTGCCACATGGTTTTACCAGAATGCTTATAAATATATCAAACATCACTAGTTATTGGCAGCAGCTTGCTAATCTTAGGTGCTGTCTCTGCCACGAGTTTTTACCAGCATGCTTGTAAATATATCAAACATCACTAGTTATAGGCAGCAGCTTGCTAATCTTAGGTGCTGATCCTGCCACATGGTTTTACCAGAATGCTTATAAATGTAAAAAAACCCACTAGTTATTGGCAGCAGCTTGCTAATCTTAGGTGCTGTCTCTGCCACGAGTTTTTACCAGCATGCTTGTAAATATATCAAACATCACTAGTTATTGGCAGCAGCTTGCTAATCTTAGGTGCTGTCTCTGCCACGAGTTTTTACCAGCATGCTTGTAAATATATCAAACATCACTAGTTATAGGCAGCAGCTTGCTAATCTTAGGTGCTGATCCTGCCACATGGTTTTACCAGAATGCTTATAAATGTAAAAAAACCCACTAGTTATTGGCAGCAGCTTGCTAATCTTAGGTGCTGTCTCTGCCATTTAGCCTACTACTTGGTCTTCTGACTCTCATTGTATCTTTCCAATAACTTCAGTCAATTTTAAAGATAAAGAAAACAAACAAGATTCCAAATTTCTCACCTTTTCTCTCCGCTGGTCCTACAGGACTCGATTCTCTTCCACAGCAAATCTCTTGACACAAGATGTATTCTGAGAAAACAGAAAAGAAGAAAACTAAAGAACTTCCCTGAACAGAACGTCTTCACAGCTTGATTTTTATGCTTTCCCCGCCATTCGCTCAATTTTGATTTCAATCAAAAGCTAGGTTTCCAATGGGAGCACAATGCTTGTTGAAAACTATAAGGTCATAGGGTGGGTAGGATGAGCTCAAGAAAACCGATCCCTTCGTAAGAACGACAAGCTAAAGAAAATGGAATGGGGACAGATTTCTGAATGTTCGTGTCCTTTATTTCTCGCACAAAAGCATAGTTTCCCCAAGTTTTCATGTTCCTTTCCTTTTCAATCAGTATGCTTGGGAAGCAAAGAAGACAAGTAACCTAGCAATTCTCACCTTTTCTCTTGTATGGTCCTACATGACTCGACGCTCTTCCAGAATACATCTCTTCAAACAGGATGTACTCTAAGAGAAGATAGAAAACCGGAGAGAATTACTGTACCTCCACAAAAAAGACGTTTTGACACCTTAGTTTCTATGCTTTAAGTTTCACTCTAGGTGCACAATTAAAAGCTGTCTCCATGAATTTCAATGCATGTGGAAAAATACAAGGTCATAATGGAGGTAAGAAATGCTCAAGAATGTGGAATGCTTACGGATGTCAGAATGTGTGTTACTTTTTCATTTACAATAGCAGCGGGATGCATTTCCTGCATGACCGTCAGTCTTTTGAAACGTTTCTAATTATAACACCGACTTCCCATCCAACCTTTACTTCCCTTTTGGACATTAAATCAAAAACGAACCTGTCTGGTCCATTAGAGACGCCTCTCTTTGGGTACTCCAGTGTCGGTCCTTTGCCAGGATGGTGGTGGGAGGGAAGGAGTGCTGAACATCCTCGCTCGGAAGAAGAATTCATACATAGGCATCACGATACTGGTCTTAGCTGCTGTTTCTAAAAATGGCTAAGCCCTGGCCTATAGAGATTCAATCAATCTTCATCTTTTTTAGGGTTCTGTAGGCAGCAGCTTATTATTCTTAGGTGCTGTATCTGTCGTATATAAATACCCTATTCTATTTCATCATTGACTGCAGCATGCTAAGCTTCGTAATAAGAATATCTCTCCCTTCAGAAACTTTACTCCTAGGCCAGATTCTTGGCAGCAGCTTGGTAATATTAGGTGCTTTTTCTGCCAGTAAAAACTACTTCCTGTTCTTTCCACTGTAGCATGGCTCTTTAAAAATTGCTGGCCACTTTTGAATTTCAAATGGATGGGATAAGCAGTCAATCAAGTAATTATTTCTTCATTTGAAGAGAATCCTACCATTCTTTTGCAACATCTTAAATACCAGAAATAAGAGTGGAGAATATCTGACTACAATTTCAGTAAAGTGTGCAACATCTTAAATACCTAAAATAAGAATGGAGAATATCTGAATACAATCTCAGTAAAGTGTAAAAGCATGCATGGCCCTACTTACATGGGCAGTTCGAACAGCAAAAGGAAAAAAAGTTGAACAACACAAAGGGAAATGAAACCAACAATCGTTGGGAATACACATGGTGCATTGTCATCGACAGATTCAATTAAGAATTTGCAAGGATAATTGCCTGTCCGTTTTTTTTTCATATATATTAAGTCAGAAGCCAAGATTCGTCTACTGTGGTTTTATAGGCAGCAGCTTGCTGAATTTAGGTGCTGATCCTGCCACATGGTTTTACCAGAATGCTTATAAATATATCAAACATCACTAGTTATTGGCAGCAGCTTGCTAATCTTAGGTGCTGTCTCTGCCACGAGTTTTTACCAGAATGCTTATAAATATATCAAACATCACTAGTTATTGGCAGCAGCTTGCTAATCTTAGGTGCTGTCTCTGCCACGAGTTTTTACCAGCATGCTTGTAAATATATCAAACATCACTAGTTATTGGCAGCAGCTTGCTAATCTTAGGTGCTGTCTCTGCCACGAGTTTTTACCAGCATGCTTGTAAATATATCAAACATCACTAGTTATAGGCAGCAGCTTGCTAATCTTAGGTGCTGATCCTGCCACATGGTTTTACCAGAATGCTTATAAATGTAAAAAAACCCACTAGTTATTGGCAGCAGCTTGCTAATCTTAGGTGCTGTCTCTGCCATTTAGCCTACTACTTGGTCTTCTGACTCTCATTGTATCTTTCCAATAACTTCAGTCAATTTTAAAGATAAAGAAAACAAACAAGATTCCAAATTTCTCACCTTTTCTCTCCGCTGGTCCTACAGGACTCGATTCTCTTCCACAGCAAATCTCTTGACACAAGATGTATTCTGAGAAAACAGAAAAGAAGAAAACTAAAGAACTTCCCTGAACAGAACGTCTTCACAGCTTGATTTTTATGCTTTCCCCGCCATTCGCTCAATTTTGATTTCAATCAAAAGCTAGGTTTCCAATGGGAGCACAATGCTTGTTGAAAACTATAAGGTCATAGGGTGGGTAGGATGAGCTCAAGAAAACCGATCCCTTCGTAAGAACGACAAGCTAAAGAAAATGGAATGGGGACAGATTTCTGAATGTTCGTGTCCTTTATTTCTCGCACAAAAGCATAGTTTCCCCAAGTTTTCATGTTCCTTTCCTTTTCAATCAGTATGCTTGGGAAGCAAAGAAGACAAGTAACCTAGCAATTCTCACCTTTTCTCTTGTATGGTCCTACATGACTCGACGCTCTTCCAGAATACATCTCTTCAAACAGGATGTACTCTAAGAGAAGATAGAAAACCGGAGAGAATTACTGTACCTCCACAAAAAAGACGTTTTGACACCTTAGTTTCTATGCTTTAAGTTTCACTCTAGGTGCACAATTAAAAGCTGTCTCCATGAATTTCAATGCATGTGGAAAAATACAAGGTCATAATGGAGGTAAGAAATGCTCAAGAATGTGGAATGCTTACGGATGTCAGAATGTGTGTTACTTTTTCATTTACAATAGCAGCGGGATGCATTTCCTGCATGACCGTCAGTCTTTTGAAACGTTTCTAATTATAACACCGACTTCCCATCCAACCTTTACTTCCCTTTTGGACATTAAATCAAAAACGAACCTGTCTGGTCCATTAGAGACGCCTCTCTTTGGGTACTCCAGTGTCGGTCCTTTGCCAGGATGGTGGTGGGAGGGAAGGAGTGCTGAACATCCTCGCTCGGAAGAAGAATTCATACATAGGCATCACGATACTGGTCTTAGCTGCTGTTTCTAAAAATGGCTAAGCCCTGGCCTATAGAGATTCAATCAATCTTCATCTTTTTTAGGGTTCTGTAGGCAGCAGCTTATTATTCTTAGGTGCTGTATCTGTCGTATATAAATACCCTATTCTATTTCATCATTGACTGCAGCATGCTAAGCTTCGTAATAAGAATATCTCTCCCTTCAGAAACTTTACTCCTAGGCCAGATTCTTGGCAGCAGCTTGGTAATATTAGGTGCTTTTTCTGCCAGTAAAAACTACTTCCTGTTCTTTCCACTTTAGCATGGATTTTTAAAAATTGCTGGCCACTTTTGAATTTCAAATGGATGGGATAAGCAATCAATCAAGTAATTATTTCTTCATTTGAAGAGAATCCTACCATTCTTTTGCAACATCTTAAATACCAGAAATAAGAGTGGAGAATATCTGACTACAATTTCAGTAAAGTGTGCAACATCTTAAATACCTAAAATAAGAGTGGAGAATATCTGAATACAATCTCAGTAAAGTGTAAAAGCATGCATGGCCCTACTTACATGGGCAGCTCGAACAGCAAAAGGAAAAAAAGTTGAACAACACAAAGGGAAATGAAACCAACAATCGTTGGAAATACATATGGTGCATTGTCATCGACAGATTCAATTAAGAATTTGCAAGGATAATTGCATGTCCGGGTTTTTTTCATATATATTAAGTCAGAAGCCAAGATTCGTCTACTGTGGTTTTATAGGCAGCAGCTTGCTGAATTTAGGTGCTGATCCTGCCACGAGTTTTTACCAGAATGCTTATAAATATATCAAACATCACTAGTTATTGGCAGCAGCTTGCTAATCTTAGGTGCTGTCTCTGCCACGAGTTTTTACCAGAATGCTTATAAATATATCAAACATCACTAGTTATAGGCAGCAGCTTGCTAATCTTAGGTGCTGATCCTGCCACATGGTTTTACCAGAATGCTTATAAATGTAAAAAAAACCCACTAGTTATTGGCAGCAGCTTGCTAATCTTAGGTGCTGTCTCTGCCATTTAGCCTACTACTTGGTCTTCTGACACTCATTATATCTTTCCAATAACTTCAGTCAATTTTAAAGATAAAGAAAACAAACAAGATTCCAAATTTCTCACCTTTTCTCTCCGCTGGTCCTACAGGACTCGATTCTCTTCCACAGCAAATCTCTTGACACAAGATGTATTCTGAGAAAACAGAAAAGAAGAAAACTAAAGAACTTCCCTGAACAGAACGTCTTCACAGCTTGATTTTTATGCTTTCCCCGCCATTCGCTCAATTTTGATTTCAATCAAAAGCTAGGTTTCCAATGGGAGCAAAATGCTTGTTGAAAACTATAAGGTCATAGGGTGGGTAGGATGAGCTCAAGAAAACAGATCCCTTCGTAAGAACGACAAGCAAAAGAAAATGGAATGGGGACAGATTTCTGAATATTTGTGTCCTTTATTTCTCGCACAAAAGCAGTTGCCCCAAGTTTTCAGGTACCTTTCCTTTTCAATCAGTATGCTTGGGAAGCAAAGAAGACAAGTAACCTAGCAATTCTCACCTTTTCTCTTGTATGGTCCTACATGACTCGACGCTCTTCCAGAATACATCTCTTCAAACAGGATGTACTCTAAGAGAAGATAGAAAACCGGAGAGAATTACTGTACCTCCACAAAAAAGACGTTTTGACACCTTAGTTTCTATGCTTTAAGTTTCACTCTAGGTGCACAATTAAAAGCTGTCTCCATGAATTTCAATGCATGTGGAAAAATACAAGGTCATAATGGAGGTAAGAAATGCTCAAGAATGTGGAATGCTTACGGATGTCAGAATGTGTGTTACTTTTTCATTTACAATAGCAGCGGGATGCATTTCCTGCATGACCGTCAGTCTTTTGAAACGTTTCTAATTATAACACCGACTTCCCATCCAACCTTTACTTCCCTTTTGGACATTAAATCAAAAACGAACCTGTCTGGTCCATTAGAGACGCCTCTCTTTGGGTACTCCAGTGTCGGTCCTTTGCCAGGATGGTGGTGGGAGGGAAGGAGTGCTGAACATCCTCGCTCGGAAGAAGAATTCATACATAGGCATCACGATACTGGTCTTAGCTGCTGTTTCTAAAAATGGCTAAGCCCTGGCCTATAGAGATTCAATCAATCTTCATCTTTTTTAGGGTTCTGTAGGCAGCAGCTTATTATTCTTAGGTGCTGTATCTGTCGTATATAAATACCCTATTCTATTTCATCATTGACTGCAGCATGCTAAGCTTCGTAATAAGAATATCTCTCCCTTCAGAAACTTTACTCCTAGGCCAGATTCTTGGCAGCAGCTTGGTAATATTAGGTGCTTTTTCTGCCAGTAAAAACTACTTCCTGTTCTTTCCACTGTAGCATGGCTCTTTAAAAATTGCTGGCCACTTTTGAATTTCAAATGGATGGGATAAGCAGTCAATCAAGTAATTATTTCTTCATTTGAAGAGAATCCTACCATTCTTTTGCAACATCTTAAATACCAGAAATAAGAGTGGAGAATATCTGACTACAATTTCAGTAAAGTGTGCAACATCTTAAATACCTAAAATAAGAATGGAGAATATCTGAATACAATCTCAGTAAAGTGTAAAAGCATGCATGGCCCTACTGTTCCTTTCCTTTTCAATCAGTATGCTTGGGAAGCAAAGAAGACAAGTAACCTAGCAATTCTCACCTTTTCTCTTGTATGGTCCTACATGACTCGACGCTCTTCCAGAATACATCTCTTCAAACAGGATGTACTCTAAGAGAAGATAGAAAACCGGAGAGAATTACTGTACCTCCACAAAAAAGACGTTTTGACACCTTAGTTTCTATGCTTTAAGTTTCACTCTAGGTGCACAATTAAAAGCTGTCTCCATGAATTTCAATGCATGTGGAAAAATACAAGGTCATAATGGAGGTAAGAAATGCTCAAGAATGTGGAATGCTTACGAGGTGCTGTCTCTGCCACGAGTTTTT